TAAGTCTGACCGCCTGTTTCAGAGAAAGGATATGCTTTGCCCCCTCCGTTAAAGGCAGTAGCGTGGCCAGATTAAGTGGAAGTAGGATCCCAGGAAGTATATGGACTGTGTGTTCGTTGATTAGCAACCTCCTACCTCATTATACGCTATCTGATGCGACCTCCTAACCTCGCGCTTAGGGAGCACGGTAAAGGCCAGGATTTTCACACTTCTATGATTACGCGAAAGGCCAGAAGCGACAAAATACCTGAAGGATCTGATTGTAAGCCCTCCCTCGACCAAGATGATCGAGCGGCCACCTACCGGTCCATCGATTGAAGCATATCCACTTGAGGACGAAGGTTTACCTCTACCAAAGCGAACACGTCTCAGTCTCCGTCTGAACCTACCGAAGAATCCAACCCGCCAGACACATTAACACGAGATGAGTCAAGGTTCATACGAGTCATCGGGGTATCCCCCCCTCCTCGTAAGTCGTCAGTACGGCACAGCGGGTGTTTTGGAGGCTCATCTCGAAGTTTTGAGACCTCACTTCACCACACCTTCCCGTCGTCAGGGACGAGACAACGCGCTCGGATATGTGCAGGTCTGACAAAGTTACGACAGGGGGCCGTTGCGACACGCTTAAAATGGTGGATCATAATTACCTGATCACCAATAACCAGGGAAGTGACGTTAAATAGTGTCAAGGGACACTTCAAGCCAGGAAGGATCGCCATCCAGAAAACATTTTCGTGCCTAAAGCTCCTTACACCAGGATGTCGTATATGCAAGAAAATGGTTCCAGCGATATGGCTAAACACGGTATGCAACGAGATCGGATCTAACCCTTCTATTGTACGTAAACAGACAGCATATTGACACGCCACATGTATTATCATTCTTGTACCTAAACGTCGTTTTCAGCCGACCGCAAAGTGATTGTGCAATCACGCTGAAACAGGTTTGCAGGTCGGCTGGTAGTCGACCATAGGTGTGGTGCACACAAGGGATGGGATCCCCTTTAAAGTCATATTAGAATACAGTATCAATTGTTGAAGACTGATGTCTGTCAACCATTGATTACGAGATCTTTTGAAGGGTTATATTTAGGACATTAGCGAGTACGTTTATTACGTTGTTCCAAGGTTTTCTTTTAGGTGAAAATAGCGATAAAGTTCAGTTCCCATTTTAATCAACATAAGACCCGTGCCTCACGAAGCGTCTTGATCGTAAGAGCTAGCAACTCCTGTTAAGGCAGCTACTTTTTGTGCACTCTGTGCGCTAATTATCGGAATCGTTTAGTTCCCCTGGAACAGGGACCGTAAGCTCTCTGAGTTTGTTGACTCTCTGAGTCGGGTTCTTTAAATCAAAGTCGCTCGTCGAGCGTGAAGTCTTCCTCTGACTTAAGAAGCTGTGTAGCTCCGCTACACACGCAGTTTGAGCTCCGTATTGGCCCAACCGGCGGCTGCACGCTTAGACTTAAATACAATAGAAGACGTGACGTTGTCGTCATAGACCATTTTTTTAAGCTTCGCTAACTGATTCTGCATCTTGATCCTGTCGTCCTCAGTCCGTGCATGGGTCGCACGACGATCACGTAAAGTAGACCTTCGGGGGAGTGTTTTTCTAGGCGTGCCCTCGCTGGAACGTCATCTATCAACTTCCCTTTGACATGGGATGGTGAAATGCCATCATTAAGACTCTCTGCAAATATGTTGTGGTGCATATGTAACGGGGTTGCACGTCGACTGGTAGTCGACGATAGGTGTGGTGCACACAAGAAAGGGATACCCTGTAAAGTGACAGTAGAACACTGTAAGTGTATCAATTGTTGAAGACTGATGTCTGTCAACAATTGATTACGAGATCTTTAGAGAGGTTTTACTTTGAACCTTAGTGACTAGGTTAAGTATGTTGTTCTATGGTGTTCTTTAGGTTTAAAGAAGAAATAAAATTCAGTTCCCCTATTGATCAATAAGAGACACGTGCCTTACGAGGCGTCTATGATCGGGAGGACAAAAGCAACGCCTGTAAAGGTAGCTTGTCCTCGAGCACTCTGTGCTGATTCGTTTGAATCGTTTGGTCCCTCTGGAACGGGGACCGTTAGCTCTCTGAGCTATTGACTCTCTGAGTCGGGTTCTGTGAATCAAAGTCGCTCGTGAGAGCGTTAAAGTCTTCCTCTGACTTAAGGAGCTGTGTAGCTCCGCTACAGCATACCAGAAATGTGGGCGGGACTGGGAGGTCAAGGCGGTCGCATGCGAAGGCAGTCAATTCGGTCTTTTTATCCGAGCTCATCGGGGAAGAGAGGAGTCATCGTGATGGATACTCCTTCGTGTCGATGTGAATAACCTTCTGCTCCACCGTTGCTTCGGCGACTGCAGCGGTGGCGTGATCAGCACCAGTCTTCTGTAGCCATGTTCCCCTCTACTGTCCATACTGCAGTAGATCGGCCGACCGCGGTCGTAGCACGGGCATGGGCAGGTGCAGAACAGCCATCACTGGTTTCGTCCATGTTCATGTCACTGGCCGTAGGGGCCGATTTGCGCTCCCCTCGGATTGAGCTGGTTTTGAAGCCGGCCCAGTACTTCCTGAAGCATCAACATCCTGCAAGGAGAGAGAATCGTACGGTGTATCCGGAGGGCGAGGGGGGGCGACCCACTCGCGTGGAGCTGTCGCCATCACTCGTTTTCGTGTTGGTAATATACTTAACAACTAAAAGACTGGTTACAAATCGCTGGAGGCGTGCTACGGCAATTTGAAAAGTACAAGAGCCACCTCGTTGCTCATCGCAGAGTCCTGCTCAGTACAGTCCGTCCATTGCACTTCTACTAAGTGTATAACTTCCTTGACAACGTTCGTCTTTCGAGACATGGCCGACCTAAAACGTCAATCGGTCTCATAACATCAAGTTGAGCGTACAAACGTGCCACAAGATGCACGTCACGCTTTTTGAAACGCTTCCATTTACATCACGCTACAGTAGCGCCAATCCTCGCTGCCACCAAGCGGTGAAAGAAGAAATTGGACTGCAAACTTGTGTCAATCAAAAGCACTTTGTATCACGCATGGACAATGAACGCTCCACGCACGCTTTTGCACACGCACGAGATCGGCCAGGGCAGCCGACGTATTGATAAGTCCTTGTAGACTTCTGTGGCTTAGTGCGACTCTCCAGTGGCTTGAAATAGCGTCACAAATGATGTAAAGCTCGGTCTTTCAGGTGGCGATATAGCCTTTTCGGTGTCACGAGGCGGCTCTCGCGGTTGCGGGCAAGAGACAGTTGGACGCAGGGTGTGATGATGCCATGGCATGAGACGGTGATTGCTGACGTGTGCGTTTATGCCGACGGATTGGACCCACTGTATGGAGCCACCACCCCCAGGCATCTAGGTTGACTTCATACCGCGCGCGCCGAGTGCAGGCCATGTCGCTCAGTGGCAGCATTCTGGCAGTCTCTTCGGCAATAATTCCAACTCAGGCCACGCTGTAGTACTTTCCGAGTTCTGTATCGGGGTTGGACTCACGAACTGCGTGACGTAGGTGACGTTCGCCAGAGTGCAGTCGAGTGTTGTGTACAATATAAAGGCACTTGAGATACACCCATACCTTCTACTGCTGACTGATCCAAGTCTATTGCATCGCTGGCGTAGGACGTAAGCTTGATGCAACGATGAAAGGACTGTCTAGTCTTGTCGAAGTGCATCCTTTCGGTATAAGAAATGCTGACCTCGTTGGATTATACCGACTGCAAAGTCGGTTCATTAGTGCGTCAGCCCCCGACGCTTTACCGTTTGTCTAGCTGTGGTAGGCAACGATGTGAAGAGCTTTTGTCGATGTTTGACAAGTCTCCGAGTCGCATATCAAAAAGGAAGCTAGTATCCTCAAGCGCCCGACAGATTGTGACTTTGTATCGATCGTCTTAGCCAGCACGACAAAAGGGGTACATGTGCAGGAAGATCAATCAACGGTTTGACAAGATTCCGACGAAACCGCGAGAGACAAGTATAAATTGGCTAAAGCGGAGCGCTAGAGTTTCATGCAGAGTTGACGACATGACTCCGTAGACATTTCCAATTGTTGCAGTGAGAGTGTTGAAGTACTGCATCTCAAAGTGACTTAGGTTGGCAGGATAATGAGTTCTGCCGCGCATCAGTGAGCATAAATTATGTCATGGTCCGGTTCTTATCATGGTGCGTATGACGTAAGACCAGCGGGGACAAAGCTTGAGCTGATAACCTCCATCGCAAAAGCGTAATCTTTGTTTGCAATGCGTGACTACAACTTTGGGATGCATGTACTGTGCTCTGCTGCGCGCCTTGTTTTGTCGACGCTGATCGTACCATCATCTGTATGTGTAAGACGGTATTGCTACTAATCTACTCTCTGATTTAATGCTGCAGCATTTAGATTCCGTGCGAGTCTATTGCTAAACACGTACTACAAAGCGCGAGACCAATTACAAACGTGTACCCCACCCACGTCAGGAAAAGTTTTGTGCTTTCTGTCATTACAAAAATCAAACAAGAGCTATGCGTTGTCGGCAACGAACTAGAATCGAGGAAGTTCACGATGTCGAGTTTGGCGACCGCTTGACGCCTCTTCTACTTTTTCTTGTGCAGATGTTGGCAATGTAATGTTTGGCGGGTGACAGGAGTACGGACGGTGACAAGTCGGCGGCACTCGGACTGCTAATCCGCGTGTGCGAAGATAGATCGATATGTTTCTTATCATCACAAGATATTCGTCACTGCATTCGTCCGTAATCGCTTTCTTTGCAGGATAGCGTTCCGTGATCGCATATACCACTGTTCACGCGTTCGTGAGGACAATATGTAGGCCAGTTCTTAAACGCACGAAGCCACTTGCAGGGGTTCGAGTGGGGTAACTCCTTCGTGGACCGTCAGCAGGCCATCTGTTGGGTTGGCTTCATTCGGTGTTGTCCACACTGATCTGATCCCCCCGCGGCCACAGTCGTCGAATGACTCACTCGTCGTCCAAGAGCGAAAGAGAGCGAGAGGATGGAGGCGACGGCAGCGAAGGACCCGCGTCACGTCGATGAGCTCTCGCGCATGCAGAGCAAGAACAGGAAGCTCGCGGCCGGTGCGCTCTCGGGTGTGATCTCCGCGCTGGCGTTTCAGCCTCTAGATGTCCTCCGCACTCACCAACAAGGCGCGTTCACGGCGTCGATCTTCCAGCCGTTGAAAACATCTCGAGCTTTGTATTGCCCCTCACGGTCCGAGTCCGTCAAGACCTCGCGAGAGTCGGCTGATCTGGTGACACGGCTGCGCTCAATGTGGCGTGGCACGTCGCCAACGCTCGTGCGCGTCGCTGGCGGCGCAGGTCTCTACTTTGCAACGCTGGACTACTGTCTGCACGTGTTCCCGAGCTCTGCAGTCAATACGTTTCTCGCTGGAGCTGCTGCCCGTACATTTGCAGGCAGCGTCATGTCGCCCTTTACGATCGTGAAGGCGCGGATGGAGTATCTGCCACCAGGCGCCTGTGAAAGCAGCTGGCAGGTGGCACGTCACGTGCTCCACCATGAAGGCGTACGTGGCCTCTATCGTGGCATGGTGCCAACGCTCATTCGAGACGTACCGTTCTCTGGTCTCTATGTGCTACTGTATACGCGGCTGCGCGACTCGTGGACCATCAGGTTTTCGCAGTGTCCGTCGTACGGCGTGCACTTTAGTAGCGGTGTGGTTGCGGGCGTGCTGGCCACGTCGATCGTCCATCCGGCCGATGTTGTTAAGACACGTATGCAGCTAGGCATAACAATGATGGACGGAGAAGGAGGTATTGCCTCGATGCAGAACTCGCTCACGATGCGTCAAACAGTGGCCAAGATGTACCACCATGAAGGCCCGCGTGGCTTTATGAAGGGCATTGTTCCGCGTGTGATCAAACGCACCCTTTCCACTGCAGTAACATGGACGATCTACGAGCACTTGTCGCTGAGGTAGCCAGACTCGGACGTGCGTACATGACCGAGAGAGGGTCGTTTTGAATTATATCATGGGACGTAGTTGATGATGTAGAAAATGTATCCGCACGCGAGATTTTCTGTTAAGCACGCATTTGTGCATAACACAAGAGGAACCAACGCGCTCGTGTATCTGCCGGAATCAGTGGCTATTCTCGAAACTACATGCAGCGCTTGGAGACTACCGCGAGATAATTGGTGTGAATGCGGCAAAGGGCTCGCCACCACTACCACCGCATGCACGCGGCACGTTGTCGCTGGCTGAGCCGCTGTTGCTTTCGTTGGCGTGATGATCGTCAGTGCCGGTGTCACCATCAGGCCCGGGCAAAGAGCTGACATTGTTGACCTTCAAACGATGGCTGCCGTTGTACCCGTTGGCGTGATTGCGGGTATCAAGAAAAGCTGACGCTGGTGCTGCCACATACTGGTGGTATCCGAGCATAGAGCCGACAACATCTTGTTGCATGTCCGGTAAGTCGCGTACTTGCTCAGGGTCAACGTGCTCTTGCGCACGAACACGCTTTCTCATGCGCCCTTTTTGGGCTAGCTCCATCTCAGCTTCGAGGTCAACAGCTGCAATACTCTCAGACATACCTTCTGCACCGAGCTCACGCAACGAAACCGAATCTGGATCAAATCTCAGCGGGATTGATCCCAAAGTACCGTCAAAACGATTCTTGCGTACGTCGAGCTTGGTCTCGCCGCGAGTGCGTTGCAGAATAAGAACATTGTCTGCTTCCTGAGTGGCCTTCGCCGTACCAAACACAGATGACAGCGTAAGGTCGTGGTCCTCTTGCTCTTTGCGCGGGTGAATGACGAGCGTGAGGTGGATATTCTTGATCGAAGCAAACTTTCGGAACTTGTCTAGTGCCGCATCCTGGCGCTCAAATTTGTCGAAACCGCGACCTTGTCCGGCCATCATAAACTGCACGTTGTCCAACAGGATATGCTGCACATCATGAGCATACACAGCGTATTCCATCGCATCCAAAACCTCATCCACATCGGTGCTTCCAAAAAATCGCAAGAAGTGCATGGGTAGAGCCTCGAAGCGATCAGCTGCAGCGTCAAACGCATTCACGTCACCGCCTAGGTTGCGCTGTGCAAGCTGCGTAAGCATCTTGTGCATCAGGCGTGTGTTCTTGATCTCAAACGAGCCCCATAGCGTACTTACGCCCTGACCACACAAGTCCAGCGATAGTTGACTCAGCAGTGTTGTTTTGCCACATCCAGTAGGGCCTGTAAGCACCGTCACTTCGCCCATGCGGTGACCCTTCATCAACCTATTCAGTGATGGAAATGCTCTCGATTGCACGCCACAGGCTTTCAAGGGATTCACTATCTCCTCATAGACGTCACGACGCAGCTCCTCGAACGTGGTGATCTGGCCGTGTGGTATGCGTTCGGCAGCATTTACAATGGCTGTCAGGTCCAAACCGGCTCGAAGGGCATCGTTTGCGTCCTTTATCACCGATGAAGCTGCTTTCGCAGGAATGCGAACAATGTAAGAGCGAGTCAAGCCAAGCTTCGCCGCAAACTTTTCGACATTCGATTGCCCTGAGGCATCGTCATCCAACCAAAGGTAAATGCGCTTAAAGCGTTCTAGAAGAGGCAACACGCTCGGCGGTAGCGACTGGCAGCCATTGGGCAGCGACACTGCAGCCATGCCTGTTGCTTGGTGCACAGCCATGGCGTCGAACTCACCTTCAGTCAGCACCAGCTCGCTCGCAGCTGCAGGCACCGTGTTCCAGCCAAAGAGACCCCAACTACCTCCTTTCGGTACGAGCTGTTGCTTCGCTTTGTCGTCTACTGCACGAACCTTAAGCCGAACCACGTTATACAAATTCTTGTCCTCAGTTGCCGCTTTCCGCTTGTCTTCTCCTCCGTGACACACGACACCCATTGCGTCTATGTCCATTTGCCGCGCCATCCACGGGAAAGAGATGCACTGTGCATTGATACGTTGGCCCGACTCGTGGTCCCAAAACGGCTGCTCGATTGCGCCCACGCAATACTTCCTCAAAACATCCAGTCGGAGTCCTCGAACGTCCGTCAAGTATTCCAGCACTGGCTTAAACTCGACTTCGTCCAGCAGGTTCTTCTGAATGGCCATGGCCTTCGCATTGTCCAAAACCTGGATGACCCTCACTTCCACTCCATTTTTCAGTGCTCCAGCACTGCTTCCTGCTGATATATAACCACTTGCGGGAGCGACGCCCACACTGCCTTGCAGCTTGCGTTTAAAGTCAAACCAGCTGCCAGACGAGCCGCAGCGATGGCACTTGTACATGCCCTGAGTCTTGTGAACATACATCTTGAAGAGATTGTCTGCCTTACCGTGTGTAGCATGACAGAAGGGACAGTCTCGCACCATAAAGTGCGATTCCGTCTCGCGCACCGCCAACCGCTTGCGGTGCAAGAAATCCGCCACGTCCTGGAGGTTCTGTATCTGATAATGGCGCGACACGAACGCGTCTGTAGCCACGTCTCTTCTTCTAACATCGACAGTTGAAGCATTGGTAGACACAGTAGCTTTTGTAGTACGTGAGCGCTGCAGGAAGCGACAGCCAGCCGCGAGAGCGCGCATGTTCGAGACGCTCGGGAGCTCCTGCTGCGCCGATCGCGGAGAACCTGTCGTTTTTGATTGGTTTGCATCAATTGCTTTCGATTGGTTTGTAAAGGCTACTAAACTACAGGTACGAGCGAATTCGAAAGGGTATGTGCTCTCGCTGCAGTTGCAATATTGCAAATCGTCAAAAATGATTGGCTGAGAAAAAGGAGAACGTGGTGGGTCTGGCCGTGCGTGGGACAGCCACAGGTCAAGTGATACGATGAGTGGCGTGTCGGTCGTGCCGTACTCGCTGGCCCCGTCCGCGTCCACAGGCCGCTCCACGCCGCTGAAGAAGAGACGCAACAAGCGCTCGCGTGCTGCAGGTGCAAGTACATCATCGATGGCGTCGAGCGCTGGGTGGGCGAAGTTGGACATTGGGGAGATGCAGGTCGACGGGTTTCGGGATGGCTGCGCCTTTGAGTTGGAAGAGCTTACGGAGTACCATGTCGAGGCAACAGCAGACGGTGGAAAGATGCTGGTAGGAGACCGGAAACGACGGCAGGAGCCGCGCGACGAGACGCCGAAGCGACACAAGAAGCCCAAGACTCGACCGCACGTGTCGCAAGCCGAGATGAAAGGCGACGTCGCTGAAGTAGATAGTGTCAAGCAGACAGTAGCGGTGAAGCAGAAGCTGTGCAACACACAGCAAGAGGCAACGCTCGTCAAGAATGGAGATGAAGTTTTGAGGGAGCGCAAGAAGAAGACAAAGAAGAGTCGTGGGGGAAGAGCAAGAGTACAGGAGAAGGAGGTAGAGACGGTTGCGCTGGAGGATGTCCGGCTGCCCAAGTGGAACAAGTACAAGCTACATCCGCTGCTGATGCAATCGCTGCAGGTCTGTGGGTTTTTAGCTCCTACGCGTATTCAAGAGCGTACGCTAGGACCAGCCCTGGTTGATAACCGTGATGTGGTAGGCGCTGCCCCTACGGGATCTGGCAAGACGCTGGCCTTTGGACTTCCAATTTTGAATCAGCTGCTGTATGAGCGTGAACAAGCCGGATACACGAAAGACTGCAAGGCACTGATTCTGACACCAACGCGTGAACTTGCGATTCAGATCCATCAGCACCTGGAGAAAATGGTGCGTCATCGCGAAATTGGAGTGGTGACTTTGGTGGGTGGCATGGCCGTGCAAAAGCAAAAGAGAATGCTGAGTTACCGACCGGAAATCGTGATTGGCACGCCTGGTCGTCTATGGGATATCATTGAGGCTGACCATGAACACATGAAGGATTTGTCAAAGACGCTGCGCTTCTTGGTAGTCGATGAGGCAGATCGTATGCTTCAACCTGGATCGTATCCAGAGCTACAGAAGATCTTCGAAGTGATTAGACGAAAGAACAGCGCTGTGGATTTGGGCCTTACAAACCTTTCGGACAATGAGGAGGATGACGAAGCAGCTATGGAGGGTGACGAAAACGATGACGGCGACGATGGAGAAGGAGATGATGAAGATATCGATATGTCCAAGTTCACGAGTGGCACGAAGGTCCTGATGCTTGATGACGTTCTTAAGCTACAACGTAAAAAGGAGCAAGACGCAGAAAAACTGAGAAAGAAGAACACTATGGACGAAAGCTCAAAGACTATTACGGCACTAGCTTCAGCCGATGTGGCTTCTCTTCCGCGGCACGTTCGTCAGACGTTCCTATTCTCTGCGACGTTGATGATCTCAGAAGGATGTCGCTTCCAAAAGAGCAAGGTGAAGACACATCGTAACGCATTGAGTGTTTTAGAGCGAGTCATACAGCGAGTTGGCCTTCGTGGAAAGCCTGCTGTGGTCGACCTTAGTGTCGCGGAGCCTGTGATGGACATACCTGGCGCAAAGCCGGTCGTTTCTGCAGCACATGAACGGAAGCTCGAGAAAAAGCAAGGGAATGTGACGTCATCGTTGCCTGCAGGTCTAGAACTTTGCCAGCACGAAGTGACAGAGTCTACCCGCGATAGCTTTCTGTACTACTTCCTCACGCAGTATCCGGGTCGGACCATCATCTTTTTGAACGCCATCCACCAGGTACGCAAGCTTGCCAGTTTACTGAGCCTATTGGGTCTTCCGGTGTTTGCCTTGCACGCTGAGATGCAACAACGCCAGCGGTTAAAAAAACTGGACGGCTTTCGTGCCCATGCCAAAGGCATTTTAGTGGCAACTGACGTTGCAGCACGTGGTCTGGACATCCCGAGCGTGGACTATGTCGTACACTACCATATTGCTCGGTCCACGGAAATCTTTGTGCACCGCAGCGGTCGAACTGCCCGTGCCGACAAGGAAGGTCTGAGTATCGCTCTCGTGTCGCCTGCCGATGCGAAGTACCATGTCCAGATCTGCAAGATGTTGCAGCGACCTACGGGGTTATCAGATTTCCCTTTCGACCACCGGTTCTTGGGAGCGATCGACGAGCGCATGCGCCTTGCCAAGAGTATCAACGACCAGGAGAATGCTGCCGGGAAGCTCAAGTCGGAGGTGACTTGGTTCGAGCAAATGGCGTCCGCTGCCGACTTGGATATGGACGATAATTTGCTGTTTGAGCTAGGTGCCAAGCAGCGGAATCAAGAGGGTAAGAAGAAGACGACACTGAATCAGCCGGTACAGTCGCTCCGTGCTCAGCTCAACCGTTTGCTCGCTGTGCCGCTGCGTCCAGTCGGATCTGCTCGAAAATTTCGTCAGTTGCATCAGGAGATTGGGTATCAAATAGGCGGCGATGGCGAATACTGCACTCGTGATGCAAACGCAGATCTTGCATCAAAGAGTAAGAAGTCGTACAAGCGTTTTCGCCGAAGGAAGTAACTCGAGAAAGGATTACTCTTCCTGCTCGACTCAGCTTGAATCGAGCGAGGGTGATAAATGGATACTCGTTGGTCGACCATGTCACGCGCAGAGGTAGTGACTATAGCACTACGCATAATAGACCTTTTATTCCTGGACGTGTGGATGTGTTCTGTAGTATTATCGGTATGCACATGTGTATGTGATTAAGAGAAAGCGTCCATCTGGAGCAACAAAAGTACTACTTTATTGTTCGACTACCAAGCACGAGGCCTTGTCTCGCAAAATACTACAATTTCGACCATGGAGAACCGCCTAGCGATTGGGGACGCGCGAATCGGAGGCGTGGCGAGTGACAATGCAAGTGAGGACGAGAAAGTGTACTACGGCTTTGGTGTGTTCATGGGCATGCCACTGGCTGCTCTCAAGGCCATGAAGGACGATTTTGTCGAGCAACAGGCGCTTTCTGGCGGCCTCCCGCGGGGAGCTCTGCTCTCGTCTGCCGCCATGAACGGCTGTTCCCACCACGTGGAGGACGAAGCCAATAGCTGCGACACACAAGTGAGCGTCCCTATGGCTTCGCTGCTCGTGCAGCAGCAGCAGCAGCAACAACAACAGCCACGCGTTGATAGCTACGAGGCCATCGGAAGTCAGCAAAGAGAGTACGAAGACGAGCCGAGTACCGGATACGATCAAGACCTGCGCCATGACGAACGAGGCGGCGGCGATGCCGACAACAGTGACGGCTCGGACGATCTCGGAAACAAGTCGCACTCGCTCAACTTTATTCTGCACTGAGGGACGGAAATAGGGAGAGAGAGAGAGAGAAAGCGAGAGAAGCAGAGGAAGAGAGAGAGGGAGAGAAGCAGAGGAAGGGACAAATAGTGAGAGATTTTGATGTTCCTGTAGAGTAGAGAGATTGATTGTCGATATTCAAGTTGCTGCGTGACACGTCTGACAATATAATTGTCGTCGACCTCTCGGCATACTAAAGTGCTGTCAAGCGCCTAACATTGATGGAGCTTCAGAAACATGTTTTCCGACTGATTTGTAATCGGTGGAAGAAGAAGTCGAAGGAAAGCTGCGTCCAGGCATTTGTGTGTGCGTTTTTCGAGTCTGACTGAATGGTAGAAGGGGAAAGAATTCCCCTTTGGCGCTCGTCGCTTACCACAAAGCGTAATGTTCACCTCAATCATAAACCGCGACGCTTCGGATAAAAATGTGCGCGACTGTTGGGCTGAGCACGTATGATGCAGCTTCTGCACCTCAAGGAAGCGCCAGTCCAAGCATTTGGTCGCACAGGTTCCTTTAGACTAAGAAACTACAAGTTGTGAGCCTGAACGAACACGTGCCTTCAGCTAGTGGACTTCAAACTCCAGCAATTACGTTACGCTGACCATTACGGCTTGAAGGTTGCTGTAAGAAATAAGATGACTCGCAGGGGATGGTATCGCTTGTCACTTTTGCGTTTCTTTCAGCCGTGGAGAAGCTGGCGAGAAGGCGATCATGCATAGCTTAACAACAAACGGTGAGGGAAGCAGAGCCGCCGGTCTCTCCACGTCTTCATCATAAAGCACCAACGAAAGTAACGTGGGGTCCGATACTGATGTCATTGACGAAAGTAGGGGGAACGAGAAATGTAGCGGCAAAAGCGTACCACCCGTTGTAGTTATACACCGGGCCAAAGTTCTGCCTGGGCATGAGCAGCATCGTTTAAGGTGGATGCAATTTGCAATGCTTCACTAGGAAAATGTCTAAAGGGTCAAATGCCACAGCAACGATTACTTCTTCTCTAACGCCTTCGTCGTATTTCACTGCTCAGCACCACTATTCTACAGGTCCACCTCTTTCATTGCAGCATGCTGTAGAGAGATTCACGCCGCGTAGCCCTTCAGATCGCCTTGGGGTGATCTGCGAGTACTGTGACACTGTTTCAACTCCTTACAGGACCCACACCCCTCTATACACTATGGGGCTTTTCGGCCAATAGGGCCTCCGGCCCACCCATTTATCACACACCCAGGGTACGGGCTGGCAGGGCGGCCGTCCATTGGGTGGTTGCTCGTCTACAGATTGGACTATCTCCTGGCGCCTGTAACCGTGCTCCCACCATAGGTATGGATCCAAATACCTCTCGGCCCAGATTCAGTGCATTACCACTCGACCACTGGAGTCGATCTCGCAAGCTGTAGAGCAAAAGCTTTTTACACAAAACAAGTGACCAGCAGCAACGAATGGGTACATAAAGTGTTTATGCCATTATCCTGAGCCTCGGATCGCTGGAAATATGTAGAGGTAATTGATAGAATTTTTTTACTTTTGGTCTTTGTAGGACTAATTCGAGACCAATCCTGACCAGCTTCTTGCTTATCACCCATTAAGATATAAATAAAACTAGTAAAACCACAAATGGTACAGAGCAAGGGTACAGCACTTGCTATACTACGACTAACACAAACCGTTTTAGATTTATGATGCGGAATACAAATTGCACTGGCTAGTCGCAAGACAAAAGTACACCACTATTTTAGAAACGAAATTGCATCAAACAATCACAAATCAAAAGTGCAGAATAGATAAGACGATAAGAAAATGGGACAAATTATTGCAAATTGAAACACGTACATCTTTTCTCTAGATACCAAAGCATTAGGGAATTTCTACATCAAATAGAACGAACTATAAGGTAAGAAAAAAGTTATAAGTGGTACGATATAATAATAAGAAGATGACCGATGCATACTAAATGACCGAATAGACACATGTCAGATATTGCATCGATTATTGATACGAGAGTAATTATAACAGTGATGTAGGGTATAAAAAGGGTAAGCATTCTGGGCGAAATGGTGAAGTCTAAGTAGTCTTCTATTACCCATTCATCACTACGTTTTACATTACAACACGTCGTTGACACGCTGATGCCTTTACCACACCGCACATGAATTCTCGATGCAAGCATCATCTTTATGCGATCGCAGCTAGAATGCCTATGAAGAATGAAGCTGAACGAATCGCTGATATATTGTGTTGCGTATCGATCGTGCATCGAAAGGAAAGAGCTTCTACTCTGTGCGCAATACGTCGCCGATCGGAGCAAAACAACGTCTATAAGAAAAGTATCAATGCAATATCCAGGTCAACATTTACACCATTATTTATTTGGAGAGCCTCTATTCACCACTCATATTTCGTTGATCACCACTCGCCCTCAATGTTTAAATGTTGTGATTGGCTCAATTAATCATCAGAAATGAACACACTTATATTAAATTCGCTCGCGTTAAAACGAACGCTCTTTATTAGTACACATACTTCAACATCCTGAACACTTCTACCATCAGCAGGGATCTTTTGGTTCACACTGGTGATTAATGAAGCCTCCTCGGCAAGAGGTAATGTATATATCATTCACATCAATCAGGAAAGAATGAAGCGTTCGTAAGAAAAATCTAAAGAGAGATTCTCGTGCAGGTAGCGAGTGATCCTTGGGCATCTAGATTTGCTACCGGTAGATGGATCCTTTCAATAAATATGTTCAGAACGGCCGCGGGAATCTTGTTGGTGCTCGTGTGCATTGATTTCCAGGAGACTCATATCGGACTCCCACTCCGCGAGTTCTGTCGTACTTTGTAGCTGTAATGAGTTCTTTGCGGCCTGTAAGCCAAAGCGGTAATTGCGTAGAAGATGAACAACAGAAGAAGAAGTCGGCAACCATTTAAACTTTCGCAGTGACTGCATTAGCAAATTTGAATGCTGTTGGTGACGAGGACGAATGATAGCACGTTAAATACCCACCAAAAGTGAAGGAGAAGTACCTGAATATGGTAGCGCTAGCGGAGCGATAATTACAACAGTAAACACGAAAGGAATTTTAAAACATACCTTTTTAGCGATTTATAATTTCGCATAAAATTTCTGTTTCTAACCAATTTTTTTAGTTTACTTTGAGCTATTCACAGCGCGAAAAAGTATGCAGTGCTTCAATATAATAGATGGTGAGTGGTGGATTGCACAAGTGTGTGGTGAATAGAGGCTTTCCACTGTTTACTATTGTTACTTTATTGAGGACGACTAAACTTTCCCCATCTCGTGTATGTTTTATTGACGTGCAATCTATTTATCCGTCCGCGTGCAACCACTTGACTATCTGGACATACAAAGTGATTTTATTTGTTAGGTCTTCACTATCTTGTCTCCTCTTACTGTTGGTTGCCCATCCGTCGTCTCGTACTGCTTTATGTCATGTTGTAAACACCATCTCCAACATTGTCTACGCGCCTTGCTGACACTGCGTTTCCTCTTTCTGTATAAGTTTATGAGATCGATAGTTCTACAGCCATACATTTCGACAACGTCAGACAATCTGGATGGTATAGAGAGAGGGGTCCAACGTTGCCTTGCGAGATTTAAAATAATTTAGTTTGCGCGTTTAGCTTATGGTAGGATTATCGGAAAGGTTTCTTCTCGTTAGAATGTCTAACAGCAAAAATCATGAATTAGGCTTTAGTTGATGGAAAAGACAGAAATAAATTGAAGCGCGAGGTTGTATACGACTATTCAGGCATGTGAGTATTTGGTAATACGCTATGCGACAGTGATATAATTTGTACCTTAGGATTGTTTTGTTAATTTTTTTCGTCAGATTCTCATCATGCAGTATTTATTATTTTCGGGTAACTAAATGTATCTTTATGTCACTACAATTAATTTCAAACGATATGTAAAATTTATAAAGGACCGCGTGACTTTTTAACTAGTTTAAGATGGAGATAATCTGAAATTGTGAGCTTAAAGAGCTAACAAGTTGCGTCAATTCGCAAAAATCAGTCATTTTATTAGGCCTCAATAGACCAGTTGAAAACTTAGATTTTTTTGCATTATAGGATTCAATGATACACACTACGACGAATCTAAACTCATTTTAATGTTGTACACATAAACCCACGCGTCCTTAATCATTTTCGCTTTTACATATTACGGCCGTGACCAACCCCCGCCCTTTTAGATAGCCGCGGAGAGGGTTTTGCCGCGGGCGTGCTGAGCTTGCAGCCACCAGTTGCGGGCGTACTGCGCTTGCAGCTACCAGTTGCGGGCTTGTCGCGCTTGTATCCTCCAGTTGCAGGCGCAGGCGCGAGATATAAGTACGTAAACGCGTCTTCGTATCATCGGTCGCGGCCGTAAACACAATCAGTCGGTGCTAATGTTGTTGATATTGATGTTATTTCTCTTGCTATTGTTCTTTCAGTTGCTATTGTTGATGCTGTTGCTGCTATTGTTGATACTGCTACTGCTGTTGTTGATACTGCTATTACTGTTGACGCTGCTGCTGCTGTTGTTGTTGTTGGTGATGCGTTCGATGTTGTTGTTTTAGTATCTATCATCGATGCTGCTACTGCTGCCGCTGCTGCTACTGTTGTTGTTGTAGGTGATGCGGTTGCTGTTTGTGTTGCTCTGTACATGATGCTACTGCTATTGCTACTGATGTTGATACTGCTGTTTTTGTTGTAGGTGCTGTTGTTGCTATTTATGTTGTTTTACAAGTGGGATTGCATTCCCTTCCTGCTTATCAGTTTCGACACCTAAAAAACACATAATCATATCAATAGACCCCAACGACTCTATTCTTTCTATTTAGCTCTTATTTATGGCTTCACTGCCTGCAGACTTCGTCGTATGCAGGCCTATTTCAGGGACAAAACGTGCGATGATGCCTAATGCGTTTTCGTCAAATTAAGACGTGGGACATTTTTTTAAAATTTTTGTGTTTATCTGGGAATCTTTGTTTTATGATTCAG